AAGTAACGGAGCGAGGGAGCTCCCCCCTCTACCAAAGCCTGCCCCTCTGAGTCATGAAATTAGAATTGAATGGGACGACGCGCTGAGGTCTGTGCTCAGGGGCAGGATGCAACACGATTCTCCAAGGACCCTGGGAGCCAGTTTTCCTTAGGCAAGCAAAGGGCTCGCTCTCTTGAGTAAGGCTACTTGCACTAAAGCTTTTGCAAGGTGAAGTTTAGGGTTTAACACGCTGGAGAGCAAACAGGGCAACATAAATAGGGGCTTTTCCAAGGCTGCCAGCTCTGGGACTGGACATGCATGTCCTCTTGTTGGCTTGGGAAAGCTGGGGCTGAAGGTGGTTTTACTTATCAGCGCAGCTCTTTTGATTTATTTTGGAAAAGGGATCTGAATGATCATGGGCTTGCAGAGATGAGCTGGGTGGAAGTTGTCTCGTGGCAGTATTTTCTGGGATCTTACCAAAAAAATTCTCTCCCCTTGTGGCAGGGGAAACTGAGAAATTAGCTAGCATGGTTAACAGCAAGTAAATCCCTTTTCCAAAATAACTTCAAATTACATTAAATAGTACTACAAGGCTTATAAAATAGTTATTAAAAAGTTGCTTGAAATGATTGCTCTTCTTTTGAATCTCCTTGTCAGGCTCAGGGTTCAAAAGCTCCCTGTGAAGTGGTATTTTTATCACTTTTTTTCACCCGCCTGTATTTAACCAGCAGTTTCCACGTCATTGCTGGCTCTCCAAGATGTTCTATGAAGGGGAATTCACCCGCTTTTCTTCCAGCTCCCGCCCACCCCCTTCTTCACTCGGCTGAGATCATTCAATTCGAAATTTTTTCTAAAATAGCTTTTGCCTCTTGATCTTGGGCTCTTGGGTGAACCCTCGCCCAGGAGCTTCAATCCCCATGCTGAGGCTGGGTCGTGCTTTACGACGGCATAAAGGCAAGAGAGCTGGGGACCTCTTCTCTTGTGTCCATGAAGAGCTGGACATGGGTTACAAGAGAAGATATCCCCTCCCTCCCACCCAAAATACTTCTGCAAATTGGATTCTGCCCAGCCGCATCCTCGTGCTGTGAGGGCTGCCCACCTTGGTCATGTTATGTGTCAGATAAAATAATAGTGCAGGGCAGAGAGATGAAACCCCGAGCAGCTAAATCAAAAAGATTCTCGAAATCAGCTACGTGAGCAATAAGTACAGGAGCTTAATCCAAAATGAGCAGCTTAAGGGTATCTGCTGCATCTCATAGCTTGTTTCTGTTGATGTGTTTCCAACTGCCGTGTTCTCTGTCTGGGAACTTGAAAGAACCTGAGCAGAAGGGGGGTTTTTTTGTTTTGTTTTGTATTGGTGTTGGTTTTTTTTTTTCTCATTGCAATCAGAAAAAGCCAGTGCTCACAACTATCATCTCCTGCAAGCACTCCTGTCGCCGCTCATTGCCAAGAGCGTGCGTCACCCGCACCCGCAGCGCTTTCGGGCGAGCTATCGGGAAGCCGATCGTTGGACGGGGTGTTGCAAGGCACCCTCCCGCTGAAAGGGAGATGGCTGGGCGGTAGCAAGGGGGTGCTCTCGCCTCGGGAGTGGAGACATGGGAACCTCCCGGGTGCTGGAAATGCAGAGTTTCGCAGGGAAAAACTGCACCCACGCTCGCACGGCCAGAAGCAACGAACCCCCATTTCGCAGGTGATGCATAGCAGCAGGTAACCTCGGTAGTAGCACCACTGGGGTTATGCTGATATTGAAAATAAATAAATTCTGTTACAGGCATGGCAAATGTATGGAGATTTGCTTTCCTAAGCCTGCAGATGTGAATTGGCACATGTGTGCCGGATCCTGTGGATGGGGGCCAGGCAGGGAGCCTGCCTTTGACTTCCAAAGAACTATGCAAAGTCACACCTGGGAACCAGAGCACAGGCTGCAAATGTTTTAATTAAAGCAAAGAGAAAAGATTCATGTTGAAGGCAGTCATTACCTCCCAGCTCTTCTAGGAAAGCCTGTTGCTGCAGACAACGGTAATTAAGTGGAATACTACAAAGGATTTGGAAGAGTAAAGCAAATGATGGTTTAGGCACCAAAACAAGGGAAATTCTTGCAGAATCTCTCAGTCCCACACAGTTTCTTTGCTTGGCTTGCGTCGCTCACATGCACCGTCCTCCCGAAGCTGTCCAGAGCTGCATTTGCCCCCTCAGACAGATTGCCTGCAGGGAGGATGTCAGTTTGGGAGGCAGGATTTGTTCTAGAGGGGTTGCCTGGGGGGACGAGGGCACTGCTGGGGGTGGTGGGTGGGCTGCGGATGCAGAGCAAAGGGAGGAGGAATGGGGCCAGCTGAGGTGTTTGCAGGAGCTCGGCTGCCTGTGAGCACCACTCTTGGACTGTTCTTTGTGGTTTTTTCAGCACAAGCTGGAAGAAAGACATTGAAAACTTTTAAGGTTAGTTAAGGTTAGGTTGTCATTAGCCGTATTAATTCCTTACACCCGTGCTGTGTAATTCAGTGTTTGCACAGGTGAGTACAGAAATCGAGGTGACTCAGAGTTTATTTTTAACCTTCACTAATTTTTGACCTCTCTCTCTGCAACATCCTCTGGAACAGCAGGGACCGGGGAGTTGGGTTTCGTCCCCAGACTTTGGTCTTTTTTACTGCGGCTTCTTTGATTTTTTCTGGGTGAAGGGAGAGTTGATGCTCCCGTGTTTCGGTGCATCTGGCTTTCAGTGAGGTTTTCCTGAAGCGGTTGTGAGCGTCTCCTGTAAACCTGCTGGGCTGGCGTGTACTTGCTTGCTCCTTCCCATTTGCTGCACCGAGTTAGGTAAAGCCGGGATGTTGAGCGGTCAGGGAAGAGTGAAGTGTCTGACTTTGAAATGCAATAAGGTGTGAGTGTTTGTCTGAGGGGTTGTTTTTTCCCCTTTTTTTCTTCTTTATTCTCCTTTTGCAATGACGGCTGACCAAAATACCCGCATCGGTTGGTGAGTTGCTGTGCTCCAGCTCACCGAAACCCATCCTCTAATCTAGATCATCCTGATAAAATCCTCCCCCAGAGCCCTGTATATGCTTCGTTTTGCTATGACTTTTTAAGAAAACAAAAATTAAATACTGGGGTTTTGCCTAAGCTAGCAGAGCTGTGCAAAACCTTCTCTTCCATGGAAGAAAGGCTTTTGGATTAACCCCAATCATATGTTAAGAAATGAAGGGTGATTAATTTTTTAGTCGCTTAATGGATAAATCCCCACGCGCCACGTCCTCCTCCTCTTTTCTCGATTCTTCAGTTTGTTTTGGGACAACTGATTTCAAGCTTTTCATTATAATTTTATCAGAATTTTGAAACTTTTCCCCCAAAGTAAAGCAAAGGCCCCCTCCAGCTCACTCTGCTGAAGGTTGGAATGTTTCGTGCCACTGGTTCTGTTTCAGAATAAAAAGATGTAGGAGCAAATAAATTACAATCCAGTTTTATTGGACATGTTCCAAAAAGAGAGAGGAAGGAAAACACAGCATCATATCACTATCACTGAAGTATAAAAAGCTGCAATTATTTTTTTTTTAATGCTATTTTCACAAAAATAAAAAGATGTGGTGGAAGGCTAAACGGGTAAATTCCATCAGAAAGGGGAAGGTAGATTTTGGGCACTGGTGTGCCTTTGGGCTCCTGCTCCCAATTGCTGGGCTGAAACCTGACTGCACTTTTCAGTTTACCAAATGTCTTTCTTTTGGTAGAGAAACCCACACATAGTGGAAATGCTGAAATACCCGCAGGAACAGTGTGGACATGGCCCTTCAGGCAGTTTTTTCAGTGTAATTTTCACTCTCTCAGACTTTCACCTCAATTGCTGCTACCAAGACAGTGGGGAAAGTCAGCGAGACTTGGACTGTTGGATTATTTGGGCATTTTTTTGGACCATTCCAATAAAACCTAGCATGAGACAGGACAGCAACCCAATTTAACTGCAAATGCTGATCTTGCTTTTGAAGAACTCTCTGGCTCAGTTATTATTTAGAATTTAAAAATCCTATAATTTAGAAAACAAGCCCCTTTCTATATGCTTTGGATCAGTCCCTGATAGCTCCTCTGACAAAATACACCCACAAGATTACGGTAAGGTGCCGCTTTGGGCAAACTTTCATTTAAGAAGAGAAAGGACAGGAACAGGAGAGTAGTTTGGGCTTCCTTTTAGATAAGCTTGTTGCAAGTTGAATCCGCATTGCTGTGGGTGGTACTTTTCAGACGGAGGTATCTCAGATTGCTTTCCTAATATTATGCTCTGAACCACTGGCCAGGCTCGTGTGCCTGAATTCACATAGCTGCAATGCTCAGCACATCTGGAAGAAACATGTTTTTCGAAGCTTGGCTGTGAATGGGGAAAAGAGGGATTTTCCATCGCACTCGAGTGACTCAGAAATTACTCTTAACGGGCTCTGTGGTCCCATAATAAGGGATATTTCAGAGGGGCCCCGCGCTTGCAAACCACTGCCTGGGATCTTTCAGCAACCTCCTGGGGTATTTCTACATAGCAGAAAAATAACCCACATCTCTGATAAAGATGAGTTGCTTAACTTAAAGGAGTGAGTTTGGTTCATCCCAGCAGTGAAGGCAAAGCAGGCTGAGCTGAAGCCAAGTTCCCAGCCCATCCCTGGGCTTCTGTGGGCCAGAACTGAGCTAAAAACCCAAGTTATTGCATCTTCACTGCTATTTGATCTGTCTCAGCTGATGACTGTCAGCTAGCCACAATTACAAGCTGCTCAGCCTCATTAAAAGCATACAACAACAAAAACAACAACCAATTTCCCATTCAGAAATTCACTTAGGCCCATGTTTTCCTTTTAATCCTGTTTCAGGTACTTTGAGAGAGCTGGTTAACACGTGCTCCGCTGCTTTTCTTGAACTGTGATCCAAATGCTTAAGAAATACTGTGCGAAGAGCCGGGACAGAGGTGGGTGGAGGGAATGGTGGTGGGCAGGAAGGATACAGGAGTAATGCAGGAGCAATGTGGGAGCAGTGGTTTTGGGGAGGGTCTGGTGTTGGTTTTACTCGGGCTGTGTAGCATTCTTCAGGCTTTGGCTTTTTATGCTCTTTTTGCTGGAGGAGGTTTTAGAGACAATTTTCACACCTGGGTTGGTGCCCTTTGCACTTCCAGAGCTGAAATTCCCTCCACCAGTGCTCAGACTGCTGCTGCCACCACCTCCGTAGCCGAGACCACTGCCTCCTCCAAATCCAGCTCCGAGACCACCACCACCACCACCCCCCAGTCCAAGTCCTCCTCCGCTTCCAAAGCTGTAGCCTCCGCTGCCGCCGCCGCCACCTCCAAGACCAAAACCGCTTCCGCCGCCTCCTCCAAGACCAAAACCACTTCCACCACCTCCTCCAAGACCGAAACCGCTTCCACCACCTCCTCCAAGACCGAAACCGCTTCCACCACCTCCTCCAAGACTGAAACCGCTTCCACCACCTCCTCCAAGACTGAAACTGCTTCCACCGCCTCCTCCGCTTAGGCTCAGTCCACCAAATCCTCCTCCTAACCCAGCTCCACCAGCCATGCCAGAGCTGGAGCTGATGACAGCTGCAAGAAAAAGTAACCAGAAGGTTGGACATCTGCTTGGCAGTCACCCAGTTCCAGAAAGAACCATCATCAGGACCTTGACCCACAGGACTCGAACCCAACTTCTGTTCTCTGTGCAAGCCACTAATGCTGGTGGAGGGCTCTGAATGTCTTATACTGGGCAAACCCTCATTTTTCCCAAGGTTGCTCACAGCCTCTGCTCCCACTGGGCGCAAACCAAGGCAAACACTGTGATACTTACAGTAGCTGATGGGGTTCAGTCCCTCTCCGCTCAGCCTGTTGGAGACCAGATAAAGGGGAGGTTAGAGCACGATGAAGGAGGCAGGCAGAGGGACCAATTGCTGGACAAAGCAATAGTCGCTATTATTCCTGCAGGGATTTTGCTCCCACCTGCTCTCTTCTCCCTCCAGCAGCTTCCTGTAGGTCGCGATCTCGATGTCCAGGGCCAGCTTGACGTTCATGAGCTCCTGGTACTCGCGGAGCTGCCGGGCCATGTCAGCTTTGGCTTTCTGCAGGGCATCTTCCAGGTCAATCATCTTTGCCTTGGCATCTTTGAGGGCCAGCTCCCCACGCTCCTCGGAGTCTCCGATGGCTGTCTGCAGGGTGGCACACTGCAAGAGGAGGGATTGGGACTCCTAAATGCTGCTTTTCTTTTTGGGTAAGAGTCACCCAAGGAAGAAAATCATTCTGGTTGGGGTGTTAATGAAAAAAGTTATGACCGAGGTTGTTCATCCGTAGCTAATGTTGCCGGAGTTGAAATGCCAGCCTGGCAAGAATAATTTAATACGTGTTGCAGCATGGTACCATTTCAGGAGGCAATTCAACACATTTAATGAGGCACATCGTACTCTGTGCTAACGTCCCCAGTCAGCAAAGCGGAACTGCAGTGCTAAGGGACTACAGAACAGGGCTCCATGGGCTCCTTTTGCCATTCCTACCTGGTTCCTCATGTTCTCTATCTCTGACCGGATCCTCTGGATCAGCCGGTTGAGCTCAGAGATTTCCCCCTTTGTGTTGCGCAGGTCATCCCCATGCTTCCCAGCCGTGGCCTGAAGCTCCTCGAACTGAGGTTCAGAAGGAAGAGTAAACAGTCTGAGATGTCCAGGTGGACAAGATGTGGCTCGAACAGCCTCATATAGGGACAGTATACAGGAAAAATTCCCCAGAAATGTTGTCCATGGCATCTATAGGTCTGTTCACCTTGGTTTGGTACCAAGCCTCTGCCTCGGCCCGGCTCCTGTTAGCAATGTCTTCATACTGAGCTTTGACTTCAGTGATGATGCTGCTGAGGTCCAGGTCCCGGTTGTTGTCCATTGACAGAATGACAGCGGTGTCGGACACTTGCGCACTGAGCTGAGCCAGCTCCTGCGAGGAAGCATACAGGATCTCGGCCAGCTGCACTTACCTTTTCAAATGCCGTGAAGGATGGCAGTCACTGTCCAGGGGGTGACAACAGGGCAGAAATCGGGGGAGGAGGGTGTCTGTACCGCATCATAGAGGGCTCGGAGGAAACTGAGTTCATCAGTCAGAGCATCCACCTTGGCCTCCAGCTCCACCTTATTCATGTAAGCAGCATCCACGTCCTGGAAAAGAACAACCATGGGGACATCTGCAGCTCCTGGGACCTCTTCTTTAGCTCAGCCAAGAACTGGCCAAGCCTGGAGATGAGGCTGCCCCTTTCACAGCTGCGGTGGTGCTGCCTGACTGGAGCAGCTGTGCTGGGCACATCCCCCTGGAAGAGCACCAAAAGGACATCTCTTGGCCAAAAGAAGTGCTGTGTGTAACTTAGTGGATAAGGAGGGGGTGCAGGCCATTTGGCCTTGGTACCCGGGGTTCCTGGCACTACTGACCATCTTTGTTTCTACATGGTCTGTTTTTCCCAGGCAAGCATGTGTGTCTGTTGTGGGACAGGAGTGGGACAAGAATTTACTTCCATCCTCCAAGCCTCTCCATTCCTTTCTCCCACAGCCACAATCCAAATGGCAGCTTTTAAAAGATGAGGATGCAGCTCCATGAGATCTCCCATCCTTTAGGACATTCCCAGCCTGTGCAATGGTTAGGGTTAGCTCAGCATCCGTAACACCTCCTGTCTCACCCACCTTCTTCAGCACCACAAATTCATTCTCTGCTGCTGTGCGTCGGTTGATTTCCTCTTCATATCTGTAGGGATAAAGGGAAAGACATGCTGGATCATACCTCGGTAAGTAGAAAAATTGTACAGGTAGGACTGCAAGGTTATCTGGGCTGGGTATGGCATTTCCAAAACAATCTCCTGGAAACTGCCTAGCTCAAATTTGTGAGAATCTCATTTCTCAAAGGGTTTAAATGTCATTTTGACATAATGCAGATGGAACAAGGAGGGTAAAGCTGGTTTAGATGATTTTCCTTTGCAAGCATCATCACGAGTTGTTGTGTCCAGGCTGAATCTGCATTTTCCAATTGGAAAAATGTCAACGGACGACCTTTCTGCTGCTGTCAAGGAAGACAGGGGTTCTGCAGGGAGAGATACGTCACAGGCTAGATGTTTGACTTTCAGAAAGCTAAATTTAAGTGAGATTAATCCTAATTCCTAACGCTAAGCTGAACCGTTTGCATCCTGCTTCACCCCAGGGAACCTGGATGTGCTGCCAACAGGCACTCACTTGTTCTTGAAATCCTCAACGAGGTCTTGCATGTTCTTCAGCTCCCCGTCCATGCGTCCTCTCTCGTTGAGCAGGTTGGCCAGCTGCCGTTTCAGGTTGTTGATGTAAGCCTCAAAGAGTGGGTCCAGGTTGTTTTTGCCTGAGTTGTTTTTTTGACCCTGGTCCTGCAGGAGGGTCCATTTGGTCTCAAGAACCTTGTTCTGCTGCTCCAGGAAGCGAACCTGAGCATTGGGAAGCAAAAGAAGCTTAGCAGAAGATACCTGGGAGCATGCTGATGGCCAATAATCAGTAACTGGGACTGAAGCATAGCACAAACCAGGGAAATCCCAAACCAAGAGTATTAAATCCAGCGGTGAATATCCTCCAGATTATCTAGGGCTATGTTAGCTCACCCAGTAGTTAAGCAAATCTGCCCTCAGTAGACAGTTCTCTTTAGAGTCAATTTAATTTAGCAAGCCAATGAGCAATCATTAGAAAATGTGGGTTCAGCTCTTTCATCACTTGCTTTCTTTAACATCCATTGGTTTTTCTTTCTTTGTAAGAGATATTTATCTTCCTTCATTAAAGCTAAGATCTGAGTACTACAGGTTAAAAGACAAGTACTTAATTATCTTTCCTTTTGCTCATGTATACTACATACTTACCCAAGTAAAAGCCAAGGAAGGACTTAAGTTGAGTCAATATACAGAGGACTTTAGCTTGCAGGCAATACAGCACTAAGGACTAACATGTCTGCTGTGATTCCCCACAGAGAGAGCTGGGTTAAGCAGCTAGATCTGCACCTGAAACGGGCTTACTCCATTTAAACTAATATATCTTATTTCTCAGGCACAAAACCTGGATCTAATCCTCTTATTACTAGTTTCTAGTCTAGTTTTCTGCCTTGTAACTGTTTAGAAGAATGTTCTTTTTTGATTACTTTAATGAAGACATGCAGATAGGAAATATGCAATAGGCTGTAGATCTATGAAGTCGTATTTCTGTAGCTACAAGACTGTCTTGCTCCCTCTCTATCATGATTCCACAGCACTTGATAAAGTCTCACCTTGTCAATGAAAGAAGCAAACTTGTTGTTGAGGGTCTTGATTTGCTCCTTCTCATCTTTTCGCACCTGATGGATGTTTGGATCTATCTCCAGGTTCAGCGGTGCCAGGAGGCTCTGGTTGACAGTCACTTCTTGGATTGTACCAACTCCAGCTGGGCCACCACCAAATCCCGCTGGGCTCCTGCCACCACCCAGCCCTCCACCAAATCCTCCCAGCCCCCCTACTCCACCAAAGCCAAACCCTCCACCACCTCCCTGTCCACCACCAAAGCCAAGTCCACCAGCACCTCCACCAAAGCCATATCCACCACCTCCACCACCAAGACCAAGTCCAAGACAGCCACCAGCTCCACCACCACCAAGTCCACAGCCACCACCACCGCTGCCTCCCAGGCCAGAGCCACCACCAGCTCCGCTCCCAAAAGCAGCTCGGAAGCTGCTTCCAACACCGAAGGATATCCTCTTGCTACCACCAAGGTTGTAGAGGCTTCTGCTGCCAAAACCGCCACCACCGCCGCCACCTCCTCCGATGAGCCTTCCAAAACCACCTCCACCTCCTCCAGATCGTGCCACAGACATCGAACTAAAGCCAGCCCTGTTGCCACTTGGAATAATAGCTGAGGCAGCGCTGTAAGATCTGCCTCCACCTCCCGCTCTCATGCTGTAAGTTTGCCGGTTCATTGCAGCAGGAGATAACAGCCCGGCACTGGGGAGAAGCAGCAAACTGAGAGAGTGCAGCTCTCTGATGGCAGGGAGTGCGGGATGCCCTTTTTATCCCTCTGGGGATCTGGGCTTGGTTGCATGGAAGTCCAGTGATCAATTTAGTGCCTTCATGGTTTTGACGTTCCAGGCAGCCAGCTGTCTTACTGAAACTTGTTAAACACTGATTGCACTCCAACACACCTATTGGAGCTGGTGCAAATCTGCTCAGCTAGAAGAGTTATCTAACTGCCTGACTTTTGGCAGGGAGAGCTCAGCCTTAGTCCAAAGCCTCTGTACACTTGCAGAGAGATGTATTATTTTATTTCCTAGCTGCAAAGCAAAAGAAAAGAAATTTAAAAGGGTGAAAAAAGAGAAATAGCTACCTGGATACACTTAACGGTACTTATAAGATGCAGTAGATCAGTATAGAGCTTAGTGGACAGCCCTCTGAATTAATTTGAGAGAAAGGCAGTGAGAATAAAACAGCTAAATCTGAAGAAAAATATTTCACGGGGCTTCTTCACCTGAAGGCAGAGTGCGGGCGTGATGTTCATGAAGCCTGACATCTCTTTCAGGGCTCTAATTTATCCAGTCTGCCTGTTCACGCTTGTTAGGCAGAGACCGTCTTTTTGAGCTGACTAGCACAAAGAGGTCCTGATCCATGATTTTCCTCTGAGACACTATGTTTAAATGTCACCTCAAATTTTGGCCATTTAGTATTAGGTATTTAGTCTATGGCAGATTTCCTAGGCTTCCTTTCTAGAGATATTGGCATCTCCAGAGGACAACTCCATCCCATCCAGAGGGTGCTGTTCCAATGTCTCCAGCTGACTGATGATGTGATTGATGCATTTTCATCTTGCTCTAAAAAGTATTTCAATGAAAGAGGCAGATTTGCTGAAAAACACTTTGCCCAGCTTTGTGGAGTGGTACTATTTGCATGTTAACATTAAGATGTAATCAGTCTTGAGTTTCTAGCTCTTTACATCTGTGATTTCTTTTAAAGACTTTTGAACTTTTCCATTCAAGATGTTGCCAAAAGCAAAGATTTAACCAGCATGAAAAATACTCCCTCAAATTCTCCTTATTTTACTTCCTGGAGTCCTTGGGAAAAAGAGCAAATTCAATAGGGTGTGGTGACATTTTCTGGCATCTCAGAATTTGTGGAACTGCAATGTTTAGAGTATTTTAGTCCTCGTATTTAAGAGCTCAGTTTGTTTTCAGCGTGTTGCTGTCCTGGTGGCATTGCCCATGCTGTGCACATGACTGGAGCTTAAACGTATTTGCAGGACAGGACTCTACATGCCCTTCAAAATACATTCATGTGCCCCAGTGCTACAAAACCATTAAGTATGAGCTAAAATCCCACTGGCATCTCTGGAAGAAAAATTAAGCAGGTGCTTCGTGTTCTACTGAATACAGAAGACCAAATATCTGATTATCCTTGGAGAAATGCTGCCAGGCAGGCTCAGACTGGGAGAGTTGGGTCACTCAAATAGAATTTCCCATTGCAGTGCAAAATTCCCGGTTGGTACAGGTCGGCTTGCTTCTCTTTGGAAAATGTTGATCTGAATCTGCCTGGGATGTCACTTGAAATTCATGAACATCTATTGCCTTGATTATTTGCATAAAATTCAAAGCCTGGGTGCGATGGGAAAATGAGATTGTCTTCATGCTTTCTTGACCCCAGTAAAGGCAGATTGTCCTGAAGCTGACAAACGGGTTCGGATCAGATATTAGAGCTGAATGAAGGTAATGGGATTAAAGGTGGGGCTGCCAACAAGAAAGAGGGAATTGTCATTTTAGGCTCCCACACTCTTCTTCCTTCAGCCCACTGTCCACAAGGTATGTGAATGATGCAAACGTTGGGTGAAAAATGCACCAATTCTTTACCGGGCTGGTTTACTGTGTGGAGGAGCTGAGGTTGGTGGGCTATATACTCAGAGGCAGATGTGGCTTTTTGCATCTGTCAGTTTGGATCAACTCTACTAGGCTCTGTGGATCTACCAAGGGCCATGTCCGGAGCGACACTGAGCAGGATTTGGCCTCCAAACTGCCCCCAAAATCATGCTCCAAAATAGCCTGCTCTACATGAACGTCTTCAGGCAGGCAGCAGAAAACATGGATTTTGCAATACTCGGAGGTTGAGAAGGGCAGGGATGATTAAAGTTATTCTCCCAGAAATGCAAGAGCTGCTGGGCTGCTTTGGTACCCTGGGGAGCCGGTTGGTTTTTGGTGTGCAGTTATTGTTTTGCAGGGGGGGTGATCAACATAAATTATGAGCTGTTGGGGCACTGGAAGCTTCTCGTTCTGGTGTTTCTGCTTGTTATTTACATACAAATGAGATGAAGTCCGAGTCGTATGCATTGAGACAGAAAAGGTGAAGATAACCATTTCAAAAAACATCCTCTTTAGGTGGATGGGTTTTGCCTTCTCAGCAAGGGCTGATCCATTTGGCTTTCACCACCACTCCCAGCCCAGACAGTGTCGCTAAGGCATGTCATTTAGTAAAAAATAATTAGTGACCCGCTACCTGCTGATCACGTCCAATAAACCATCTTGCTTTCCATCAGAAAAGCACTGCAAACTTGGGGAGCCCGAATCCACCGCACTTGGTGCGGCCTCTGTGCTGGGAGAGAAGCAGAGGGAGATGCTCGGCCATGGTGGGTTCGTCACCACCACGTCGGCATGGACAGACCGAGCCTGGCAGGATCGTTGAACTCACCCACCCGCCATGGAGAGGTTGGGTTGGACAAGCCGTTGAGTCGGCAGTGAAGTTTAGGAAGTAGAGTGGGATGTCGGGGAATAAATTATGACACCCGGTCCTCGGTGTAGCTTTCATGGGGTAAATTAACCTGCCCACTCTCCGTGCTGCTTCCAGACTGGGTGAGGAGAGACAGATTTCTCCAAAGGGCAATTCAGAGCAAAGTTGTCTCAGGGGGTTTTGGCTGCACCCAGGCGAGCTGTGGGAGGGAAGAAGCTGGCAGAGCCGGCTGGTTTTCCCAGCATCCAGCTGTGCATCCAGCTGTGATGAGTGCCACCGTGGCAAGCCCTCCCCAGCCGTGTTCTAGAGACCTTTCAGCGGGTCCCCATCCCTTGGAAACAGGGGACCCTCGCAGAGAAAAGGGAGGGGGCAACCTGATCTCACCTAAATCCCAGTGTCCCAAAATGATGGGGGAGGGTTTTCCCCTCCCTGCAAGGGACGTTGGAGGGGGACGTCCATCCTACAGACTCAGCTCTTCGTGTGAGGTCGTGTCTTTGAAGGAAGGTTGGGGCGTTTGAGGAAGAAGGGCCCTGATGCTGCATTTTGGGAAGGTACGCTTTTCTCTTGCTTTCTTTTAAAATTAGCCTACTCTTGTGAGAGGGTTTCAGGGGTGGGGTGTGGGATTATTTTCTTTTTGTTACTACCTGAGCTGGTTCTGACTGATTTCTATAAACAAGGGCCTGGCTGCTTTTTTGTTCTGCCTCCAGAGATCCCAGACAGTGCGAGAGATCCCAAGTGAGCTGCACATCCCACGAGCAGTTAAATATCCTGGTTTACACTGCGTTTCCAGACTTCCTTGTGGCCACACTAATCTCTGGCTGGAATAAAGGTATGCAAAAGCGCATCAGGAAGGAGAGCAGACAAAGTCTCAAAAAAACTTTGTTAAAACTCCACTTCTTGCAAGCTACCAATCCCACCCATTTGGAGATTCATGTTTGAGAAAATATCTATGCTTTTGTATTATCAGAGAGGGAAATAAAACCCGTGAAGCAAAGTGTGAATTATGCATGTAGTTTATTGAAGGTAGCTGAAAGTTTGGAGTAAGCGAAGGATAATCAACTCTGTTCACTTACACATTAAAAGCTTTAAATCCGTCTATCTAGTACACACACAGGAAAAACAACGCATGCATTTAACTACAGAAATATAAGGTGCTCATCAGTGTGTAATTAAAATCTGCTCTACCAAACCTGGTGTAGCAACTTGGACCAATTTACATAAGCATTACCAACCCTCTCACAAACAGGAAAAATTGGATTTTCTGGTGTCATTAAAGAAGTTAAATAATAGCTGCAGCTCCATCTCGGACAATTAAAATGTGGCTTCTCTTTCTGAAGTTGGGATGACCAAATTTTTTCATCCCTTTGCAACAGCTGCATTGGGGAAAGAAAATCCCTGCTGAAAAGGGGTCAAGCAGAAAAGACTGATTTAAGAGACAAGATGATGCTTGAAGACAGGTATGGACTCTCTGAAATGAAACTTTCACCTGGCTGAGACCGCGGGGGTAAGTTTCCCCCGGGAAGGACATGCAAGAGAAGGTGGGTTTTGGTCATGCAAAGAGTTCTTGGCAGAGCGACTAGCCTAATTGCGTGGGCGTAGGCATGGGCAGCGCATGGTTGTGTGATCCCTATAGCTGTCAGAAGGAAGGGGAATACTGTTTTATTGCAGAAATGCTGACTATTTTAAAATACGTTGTGTTGTTGCCCTCCGGTCTCTACCGGGTTGTTCTGACCACGCGCACAGCTGTGCTGTACCTGTTCCCGGTGCCGCAGACCCCTGCCCCGGGAATGATGACGGCTGCCGGGCTGCACTGCTCCACGCCGGCGCACATCACGTTCCCCAGGTTGCCCACGCCGGTGGCGCACTGCACCCCCTCCGCACCCGAGATGACTTCTCGCCCCACGCAGCTGACCGCACTCCTCGCCCCAAAGCCACCCCCGACCCTAGGGAGGCAATCTACGCTCCGGGTGCTAAAGCCGGCGCCGCCGACGCCGAAGGAGGAGACCACCCCTAACCCCGCACCGGCCCCTCCTGTCTTGACGGCGCATTTCCCTCCGATTCCAGATAGGGATCGGCACTCCCCAACCGTGCCACCGCCGCTGACCACAGCTGT